TGTGTGTGTACTAAAGAAGGTGAATGACAACCCATAGTACAACCCTCTGCTTGTCTAAATTTGATAGAGGACAAAATGAACTGTGAAAGGAGCACAATAAATAACAGAGTATCATCACAGAAGGGAAAAGTGTGGAAAAAATGAAAGACTAGAGTTTGGTGAGAACATGAAAATAGAATTGCCTTTGGGTGGCACATCCCCCAAAGCAAAGCAAGATTGGTCTGATCTGCTCTTTCTCATCCCTGACTTTCTTAAATGAAATATAATGAGCAAGGTATGTATGTGTGGGACGATTTACACCTTTTATACTTCTGTACAGCTTAAATATTTAAAAATATGTACATATTATTTTTGTAATTAAGAAATGTAGTGATAAAAGATATTGGTATAGAAGGGAAAAAGGAAGCAGCACAATTCGGGACAATCCAACAGGCTCCAAGCTATGGGGGACTAAGAAGGTTAGCAGACTGTCAAAAATATATGGGGAGGAGGGGACTCTATCTACTCCTCTGCTTTAGTAATTGATCTTCTTTTTGCCATTCATCCCCTTCCCCAGATACCTCACAGTTTGACATAACTTTCTAACAGCAGAGAAATCTAGGCTCCTGAAGAAGTAGACAAAGAACAAGGGGTGATGCCAACCTTTTGGAATGAAATTTCTCACCTTTCCCCAAATCTCTTCCTCAGTGATATCACCTCATAGTTCCAGGCCTGGCTAACTCCATTAACTGCCTGGGAAATACCACAAAAGTTTCACCAACTAAGGTAAGAAGATCTCTTGATGGCTGAGGATCTCAAAGGCCTTTTCCTGTGCAGATAACGAAATCATTCCCCACTTCTAAGTCAGAGATATGGTATTCACTATACACCACATTATTAAGTGGGAAAGCGGACAAAACATCCCCCAAATCTAACTTCTCAGGACATGAAACAGTATAAGAAGAAACAGACTGCAGTATAGACCAGCTATGAGGTCAAGAGAAAGTTCAAGGGCTGAGTTTAGAGCAGCCAACAGTCAAAGAAAAAAATTAATTTACTTTCATCCTCATTCCTACCCTGGGAGTACCAAAAAACTTCAAATTACCAATCTAAACACTAAAGGCAATAAGAAAGAGGGTACTCCCGACCCAGAGCCTCTAGTTTAGCCCACCCTTCAGCATTCCCAGAAGGGCCCATAACTGATACCAGGCCCTGCTTCCATTTCATCAGCTACCTTAGTCTTCTACATTAGTAAGGCTTTCTTCGTTTTCCCCAGTTCTCCCTCACTAAACCAAATCCCTCTGAACACTACAGCACCTTCAGTTTTTATAATAGCCACTTTCCCTGAAAATAACGCCTTTTACCCAACTGAAAACCCTTCTCAGGCCCTTCCAATTAGACAACTCTCCAGAGACCCAGCCCCGGTTATCCTCGGGGCCCTGGCGTCAGGTTTGACCCCTCCTCACCTCCCGGCAAATGGGCTTACCTCACCCGCTGTCCCGTCCCTTTCCCCAGCTCCTCCCTCTTCAGCGCTGCTTAATGAGGCCTGCCCCTGCCCTCACACAAGCTCCGGGCCTCCGGCGCCCGGCCCCCAGCCCAGCCGCCTCCCCGACTCACCAACTTCGGGGTCCCAGCCCGCCCGGTCCCCTCCTCAGCGCCCCCATTAGGCCTGCCGGGGCCCGGCCCCCTTCTCCCCTCTCCAGCGGGCCACTCTAACCCCTTGCTTAGGCCCAGACCCGCCTCCGCTCTCAGGTCAGCCCATTCTCATCTCCTGGGCGCCTCTGCCCCAGCCCTTTGGGCTCCATCAGCTCGGTACCTGGGGCTCCGTCTCCCCCGTCGGCCCCAAGCCTGTGTCGAACAGACAAACAGCTGCAGCTCAACCAAACCCTCCTGCCCCTCCTTCTCCTCCTCGCCCTGGGCGGGGGCTCCAGCCAATAACTCGATTACCCGCCTACCATCGAGGGTGGGCTATATGTGCACTCATCCGCCAATCCTCTGGAGAAAGGCGGGTCTCTTGAGCGCTGTCACCAACAAGTACGAGCAAGGGACCGGACGGGCGGGGCCCCAAGCCAATAGATGGAGAGAAAGCTTGAAGATGGACGAGGTGAGAGGCCATTAAAAAGCGAGCTCCCGGAAATAGGGGGCGGTACACCGTTGACAGGCGTATGTGTCAACCAATAAAATCTCGACACCCCATGACCCCCGCCTTTGACTCATAAACATCTAATCAGGTGAGTGATAGAGGCGGGTCAAACTGAAACTTTAACCAGTACTGCAAAAATTCGGGACTTGACTGGCAGTCAAGGCGGGGTTGAAAGAAGTCTTTGGAAGGCCGCTACGGACCTTTGCCCCTCCCCCTGGATTTGGCGGGGGCTACCTTTAGTGCCCGGCCCTCCATGACAGATTTGCGGGCATAAAGGGAAATCCTCTTCTAGGGATCCGGAGCCTGGGATTTTTAGTAACCCTTACGTCAGCGCTTCCTCCTTTTAGTGAGGCTTCAGAGGACAGTTTTTGGGGTGGCCCGCGGGCGGTCTGAGCTGTTTCTTGGTGAAGTGAGACAATGGGAACTACAAAAAGTGGTAGCTTGGAGACGCTTTAGCTCTTCATAATAATTTTTCATAGACAATTGATATTTTCTGAATCGTATGTAAATATGAGTAAAAGAATCTTCAGAAAACTTTGTTGTTTGTGATATGCAACAAAAAAGGAAAATCAGCGAGCTTACTGTGAAATGCACCCTAACATTGAAATTCTGTAACTGTTGCTTTCTACGCATGTGTACATGGGGTGTGTATCTGTACGTGTTGGTTGGGGGTCGGGGAGTGCTGGTGTGTGGGGAAAGTGAAGTAGGAAATATATAGGCTTCAGTTTCCCAAGCCATAAAATAGGGATAGTAATACCCACTTTGCTCACCCTCAGCACTAACCAAAATGAGATGGGGTGGGTAGCTCTGCAGAGATAGAGATTAGGAAAAGAGGGGTCAGAAATCAATTATCACATATACACATTCATATTCTCTCTCACACCATTCTTTCAGTAAATAAATAAAAGGAGGAAAGAAATAAACTATAAAACTAGGAACACTGTTTTAATGAATTACAAACTAAATTACAAATAATGTTAATAGCAAGAGCACTCAAGGACAGGGGTGGGAGAGAGAGACAAAATCATAAAAGGAAAAAAATACTTTTTTTTTTTTTAGCATTTGTATTACAAAACCCCATGGTGCACATGGCAACAAATCCACCCACTCTGACAAAAAAAAAAAAATTACTATAACCTGAAATATAAATATAATTGTTCATCCTTCTTTTAAAGAGATATTTTTCCCAATGCCCCACTCAGTCACAGCCCTGAAAAAGTGTCAGCATTCTCAAAATGATGACTAAACCCTAACTTCCACTCCTATGGGGTAGGGGGTGGCTTTCAGAGGAAGATGGGAGCAGGGATCCCTGGCAACTGAAGAACTAAGAATCCTAAAAGGAAGAGAAAAATTCAAACATCTCTGACCTGCCTCATAAGGCTGAGATGAAGCAACAGATCGGAGTAAAGCACAGTCCCTGTCCCAGAGCCTCCTCAACTCCTTTTGCCTATAGGAGGGACATACAAGGGGACAGGGGCAATCATTTCTTCTGCAGTCCCACTGGGGCTGAGTCTTGAGTCTGCCAGCCTGTTAGGTGAGGTGAAACATTAAAACTAGGGTATAAACTGATTGGATCTATTTTTTAAACCTAATTCTTTAGAATAGACCCTCCACATTTTATTTTGCTCGGTTCTCAAAAGTTCCAACTTAGTCCCCTGCTATCAGTTGGCCTTTACAAAAACAGTGGCAGCAGGAGGCTTGGAGTCCCTGACATCCCCAAACACAGGAAATAATAATTATGGGGCATTCAGAGAGCAGGATTGCAAACCCAATGTAGGGGGAGAACACTCAGCTTTGTTTTGTTTTGTTTTTTAATACCAGCCCTCCTCAGCAGTGACTTAAGAGGCGGGGGACAGGGTGGTGAAATCTGACTTAAGTGCATCTAATACTAAAATTTCCTTTCATTTTCACCTATTCCTCCCTTCCACTCCTGTATTCCCAGAGTTGGTTGGCCAAGAAGGGAAGGTGAGTGTTTAAGGCAGCCAGATGAGATCAAGGGCCAACCTGAGTTCAAACAGCCCAGAGCCAAGCCAGGTCAAGCCCACCATGGAGGAGAGGGTGAGATTGGGGGTGGGGGCTTAGAGAAGGACATCAGAGCCGAAGGTGGGGTACTGGCTTGGTCACATCCTGGAAGAAAGGGTGAGTCAGAGCTGCCTTTGCCGAAATCCGCTTGTTGGGGTCATAGTGCAGCATTTGCTGGAGGAAGAGATGTATGCTGACTTCAATGATGTGATAGTGAACTAAATGGGCAGCAGGTATTCCCAGAAATCAGGAAACCACAACTCCTTCTACCCAAGGCAGAGTTCTCACTTCCCTCCTCCCATATCTGAACCAGCACACCAAAAGGGAGAGAAGCAGGGACTAGGGATACAAAACACTGAGACCAGAGTTCCTGGTCTTATCCTTCCTTCACCCTGGAAAAGCCCTTCCCTGGGGGAATGAATGAGGGGAAATAGGTGCCCACTCCCCACTCTCACCGATAACAAGCTCCGTCCATCTTCATCCAGGGGAGGTACAACTTTACTAAAATCTTGCCGGGCCCACTTGGGGAAACTTGGCTTATAATCAGGCATAGAAGTAACTCCTGGCCAAACCACCTCATCTGGGGTCCCCAGAGTCCGAAAGATCCGGAAGAGTTGGTCAATCTCAGAATCACCAGGGAATAGGGCCCTGCGGGTCACCTGAAAATGGGGAAAGAGGAAAGGCCAAGACCCACATTGACGTCAGTCAAAACTGTCCCATGTACAAAGGAGGTTCCCACAGGCAGTGGAAGGTCAGCAGGGCCCCATGATTCCCTCCCCAGGGCGTTTCATGGGGTCAGTCACACAGAGCCTGAGACAATGAAGTCCCTTCATCTGTCTCTTCGCCCCCTCCTTCCTTCCCCCAACCATGGCTTTGCAGATCCCCAAGGCTGGGTGGGGCTGGGAGAGGGTGAATGTCTGGGGTGCCACTGACATGTAGCAAAGGGATCCCAAGCCACTCACGGGGTGTGGGGTAGACACTGCGGTCATCCCCCCTCCTTGTGATGCAGCCACTTCTAGATAGGAGCACAGCGGGCAGAGACTGTGTCTTCCATTTCTTCTGTGTTCCCCACAGCACCTAGCATGGTGCTGGGTACACACTAGGTGCTTAACAAATATTTTTTGATGAATTGAGAGAGGAATATGGGCAATTGTAAGGTAATGCACTAGGGGATAAATGTACATTACATATATGTATATGTATGTGTATATATATGTAGGCTAATAGTTTCCAAGCCCCCAGTTACAACCCAGATAAAGGACCATAAAACATGTTGCTGACTTGATTTGAAGACTCAGCCTACTGCACTGTTGTATTAAAAGGGATGGGAGCTCCCACATAAGGCTGGGCCTCGAGGATCCTTCAATCTGAAAAGCCAGAAGTTTAGGGGGGACATAATCTAAGTCTGTAGTTTAAATGAAGGGTATGGATAAAGTGACTGCAGTTGGCTTCACTGCAATCCTGACACCCTACAATAAGGTCTACAAATCTTGAAATGAAGGAGACACTAAATAGAACTCAATCTCCCAAATACATGCAGACTGAAGTTAAAACAGATGCAGAAATGATTTAGTTCATTTCAGTGATAAGAGATATATTATAGATACTAAGACTGTTTGAGGGTATCCTAACATTGTGGTTGACATCAGAGGCAACAGTCCCATCCTTCCCCACCACCCCTTGGTGCTACTCTAGAGAGAGAGCCCTGTGATGGAAGGACCATAGATCTGGGCCAAGAAACAGTTCTGCTGTTCTTAGATGTGGGGAGGAGTGGGCTGGGTGGAACTTGGGCAAGCCTCCATACCATCTCAGCAAAGATGCAGCCCAGGCTCCAGATGTCCACGGCTGTGGAGTAGTATTTGCAGCCCAGGAGGATTTCTGGTGCTCGGTACCACAGGGTCACCACCTGGGGGATGAGAATAGGAAGGGGAGGGGTGGTTTATAGAGCACAGAGATTCCCATATCTCAGCTCAATACTACTCTGCTAACTCTCAGCCTCTTAATAGTTTCCTTGCTTCCATTCTTCCCCTCCCTCTGATTTCGCCTAACAGAAATGACTACACACAGCCTGACACAGTGGCTTACGCTGTAATCCCAGCACTTTGGGAGGTTGAGGCAGGATGATCACTTGAGCCCAGGAGTTCGAGACCAGCCTGGGTAACACCCCATCTCTACAAAAAAATTCTTTAAAAATTAGTTGGGCATGGTGGCAGGTGCCTGTAGTCCCAGCTGCTTGGGAGGCTGAGGCAGGAGGATCACTTGAGCCCAGGAATTCAAGGCTGCAGTGAGCTATGATCAAGCCATTGTACTCTGGCCTGGGTGACAGAGCAAGACCCTGTCTCTTAAGGAAGAAAAAAAAAGAAAGAAAGAAAGAAAAAGAACTGGCTACACACAACTTCTTAGCTCAGAGTTAGCATAGTACACGTCACTGCAGACCATATTTTCCAAACCCTCAATTTGGGATCTTCCTGGAAAACCTGAGACAAATGATCATAATTTTAATGGTATGCCATTCAGCTGCCCTGGCTTGGTATCTAAGTCCAGTTAGCCCCACAGTATGAATTCTGTGCATACCCTAAGACTCCTTAGGGTGTCAGAGATTCTTTCCATTTACTAAAAGAGAAAATGTTGGCCAGATATCCTTAGTAACTCTGTGAATGCCCTTGTGAACACCTCCTGGGAAGCTCAGAGAAGAAAAGCACAGAGGGACTTACAGAGGGACTCACCTCATGGGTGTAAGTACGAACAGGGACTCCAAAGGCTCTGGCTAGTCC